TGCGTGTGTGCGTGTGTGCGTGTGTAAATGCACAAGAATTGTATGGAATGTTTATAAATTTCCCAATAAATTATTCTTTTTAGTTTTGATTGATCCTTGAGCCTTTTTTTGAAGATTAATAGGGAGCTTATGGATCTGATAGAGTCCCTACAATCTAAGAATGAGGCGAATGTGGGAGCAGACATTGGAGACAGAAAATCATGCCTAGAAGATGAAGAAGATAAGACAAAATCTTATAATGATGCTAATGATTTTATGAAAGAACAAAATTCTACCAATGAAATTGAATCAGTTGAGACAAAGAAAGTTGTTGAAAAGAAATCTCAGACTGTGGTGAAGTTTGATTCTACTTGTGACGAAAAGGCTGATGTTGGAGAGATTGGGGAAAAGAGGGCTGTTAAGAGAAACAAGGTCGAAAAAAATAGTATTGTGGTGGGAGATGATTCCTCATCTAACCCTTCCAATAGGATGACAGAAGATGATGATTTCCAGTGATGAAGAATTATATTGATTATCAAAGAAGGTATCTTTCAAACTTGTCATTAATATTTGTATTTTTAGGCAAAGTGAGCACTCGAAATTGGCTTATTGAGAGCTGATGTTTTGTGTTCGAGTACGCTTCATCATATATTGGGATTCTTCATGTTTCTATTGGCTTGTGAAGTATTATTGCGTTGAAATTTAAACCCTAATGCTGGATTTGGAAAGTGTATTTTTTAAAGAAGCTGAGTTGATCTCATGTAGTGGCGCAAAGACAGTTGCTATTAAACCAGGAAATCATTGGAGAATTTTTATAATTTTCCATAAAATGGATTTGCTTTTTATTATTTAGCGAACAAATGCACTCAGAATTTGTAGTCCAGCTAGTTGGCTTTTGTAATTTAGTTTGAAATTTTAAGCTCTGTTTTTTGTTGTTGTTGAAGCTAAGAACATGGTTTTATTGGTTAATTCATTTTTTTTTTCCACGAGTTGAGACTGATAACTGATGGCTTTGTATCATGCCATATTCCCATTCCTTTCGTCCAAGTTGCTCGAGAGTAAAATGTCAATAAACTAATCAATGATTTCCTTGGATTGAGCTCATTATATATTAAGACATTTTCTCATCTGGTGCTTATTTTATTTTGTTTTTGAGATATTAGGTCTGATATATTATAATTTATTTTGCCATTTTAATTTGTATGTTATTAAATTTTATTTTTTAAATGAATTACTTGGCCGTGTTTAATTAAAATTTATCTTAACAGAAAAAGGTGTAACAAGCAGTAGGTTCTTTCTCATTGTAAATAAAAGAGACAGTGACGATTCAGTGAACTAAAACTTACATAATTCTAGTAAATACTGATGCATTTTTCACATTAGGCGCAGTGCTGAATCAACTTCAATCCCGCGAAACTGCACTTCAACTCTCCACTGTCAGAAAATTTGAAAAAATTGAATGTTCAAGTTAAAATGAATATAAAAAATTTGCTCAAGTAGACTATCAGAGCCATTTTCAAGCATATCATCTGAAGATAATAACATCGGTCAAAACTAGAAAAAAATCAGATGAAAGTAAAAATCAAACTAGCAGAGTTCAAAAGGAATAAAATCCAAACGAAAATACTCTTCAATTCATTATACATGAACGCATATTAGGAGACTAGAGATCTAAATCGATGCTTAATCACATCAACACTAGATTTCACATTGATAACTTTTATAAATTCCGTAATATTTCTATAAAGAAGCTTTACATTAAATTACAATGTAATTTGTAAAACTAATAACTCCAATACACATTTTTTTAATGAAAATAAACATAAGCCACTAGACACATTCTCACATGCCCAACTTACCAAAAAAAAAATAAAAAATACACACATCTCTATTTGGCAGGCTACAACATCTGAAATGAGTGGACAAATACTCGAATCTATAGTTTATGTAGTTGTATTGGCCTTGTAAATATGTAGACATGAGTTATACAAAAAAAATCCCAAAGAAAGAGTACTACATCTTATTAGAATAAATTAACTTTGTTACATACAATACAGCACAGCAAATTGCATCAATCGCCTACAAAAAAAAGCATCACAGAAGAATTTGCAACAAGTTCAACAAATTGCATGATTTAACTTACGCTTTAACATTTGCTGCAAACTAGTACCATAAATAATGATCTTTAGACCAGAATATCATAAAAATCCTATCCCAATATAAACTAAAAAACCACACCCAAAATATAAAACTAAATAGCAAAAAGCCCACAGCAGCAGAGTTGCCGAATTCTAATAAGAAACGCACATGATGTTTCATGATGCACTTAAAAGGACAGTCGGGGCTAAACAAGTTTCTTAAGCAGAATAAAAATGGTAATTCAGAAGGGCACAATCCATAGTTCACATTTCCACCAACATTCTACCAATAATTCATGAGTCAAGATTGAGCGCAACAAGACGCCGACAGATGATTTCAGATCATCAACGATATGCAGGCGCAGCGCCGGCAAATGCATATCGTGAAGAGACGGGCGCGTTGGCTATTTCAACCCGGTTTTCGGTATAAGATCTGGGAGCAGCATCATTGAAAGCTGACGACAAATAGCTTGCGTGGGGAATCTGATCTGAGCGTGCGTCCAGTTCGCCATCTCGTGCAGGTTGAAGCCGATGGTACTCAGATGAGATGATTTGATCCCTGTAACTGTAGTTAATGATTTTGTTAACTTGACAATCATTGATGATATGAATCATATGAATGAATACGTATATTATAAGATTTTATTTTTAGGAGTTTGAATTAATCCCTGAACTCATTAAATGTGCACAAATTTACATACATACCATACAATACCTTTCTATATACATATCTAACATCTAAAATTCGATATTTACATAACCTATGCATGAAAATGTATATTTCACTTTTAAAAGGTTTTATAGCCAGTGGTAATTTTGATGTTAAATGAAAGATTTGAATGTTATGTAATATGTAAATATAAAAGTCCATGCTTTATCTAAATACATGAGAATTGTGTGGAATGTAAAATGCCCCTTGGAAAAATGACAGCAGATGGAACAAATTTAACAACCTAACAAGACATTAAAATTGACACACCTAAAGAATGTAGAGACCATTTTGGCTATTTGATATACGAATATATTTACACGAATAAGTTAAAAAAATTAGACTAAAGAACATGGACTCCAGGGACTCCAGCCATTTACACACATACCACACAATTCTTATGTAAGTATTTACACATCTAACAACGAAACATTCATATTTACATGGTTATAATTCAAATGTTTTACACCACATAAAAAAAACCACTGCCATCACTACCTTTTTATAGGTAAAATACACGTCCTTTTCAAGCAACAGCTTATGACACCAAAAAGTTACAAGTATAAATATCAAACCTTGAGTATTAGATATGTAAATACATAAAAATTGTGTGGTATGTATGTAAATCTCCCCCTAAAAAAAATTTTGCATTACAAGCTTAGTTTCCAACATATTTTTGATGCTATATCCAAGCATTTGTAGTTCTACACCACTATATTAATTAATAAAATGAATAAAAAATATATCTACGACAATAAAGATGCCATTAGTTGCAAAATACAATTTTTACATAGAAAATTTTACACTCATAAAAGGAGCTGAAAAGCACGTACCGGTCCAAAGAAACATGGGATTCAGGATAGCCGCGCAGATCCAACGGCTGACGATAAGCATCACTAACCAGTCGGCGATGATATAGATCAACAGGTGGCGCATTGGATAATTGAAGATGTCGAGCATCAACTAGCACATATTGAGGTCCTGATCCATATGGATCAGCTGAAGAAGGAAGCGGAGCTGGAGCAATATATCGAGAATCTATCGAAAGTGGACCACGACTCACAGCACCAAGTCTGTAAGGATCCTCCGCTGCTGCATAAGGATCACTTGAATGAGTAGCATATGCAGGAGGTAGAGGGAGATATCGGGAATCAGTAGGGGCGCGTAATAGAGCTCCAGATTTGTAAGGGTCCTCCACCAAAGGTAAATGAGCGGGTACGTAAGGTTCCATTGCGGCAGGCACACGAGAATGCACAAGATGTTCGGATCTAAAAGACTCCTCCGGAGGGGGACGATGTCGCGGTTCATCGACATACTGGACAGGAGGTGGTTGGGGATGATCACTAACAGGCCGAAATAATGCAAGTAGATTGTGAACCTGCATTATAGCTGAAATAGTAAGAGCTAAACGAGAGAATAAATTTGTGTCCGACTATATAAACATGAAAATATGATTTAATTTTAGCAAGAAGGGGGTAAAGGTAAGAGTCAAGCAAACAACACCTGTTTAGAATTAAGCTCCGGTCTGAATTTGCCCTTGACTTCATAGTTTTCCTTTATAGCAAGTCTGAAGGTGCTCTCAGGAAGAGGAAGGCAATCCCTTTCAATCTTGAATTTCACCTGAAATATGGAAATGAAGTCACAAACAAGCAAAACTGATATCTGTTCAAAATAACTAAGAATTAAAAAAAATAAAAACAAGAAAATTCGTTTGAGAATGGGCACATGGATTTATGGCAGGCAAAGTGTGAAGAAGTTTTTTTAAAAAAAATGAAAAATAAAAAACTATATTGCCATTTAAAAGCTGTTGTGTGCAAAAAATTATAATGATCAGGCCATTCAAGATGTTTATTAAATCACTTGATGAGATATAATTACAAATTAGCTAACTATAATTTAATTTATATCAGTAAAAATAAAAAAATTCCACAAAATTGCTAATTATATGTTGGATAACTACAAAGTTTATCATTCATCAATAACTAATTAAGCATGATTAAAACTATCATGTGACCCTAATTATTCGGGTAAAATCCAACCCAAAAAAAAACATTCTTCAATTTGAAATAATTAATAGCTATATTTGAATTGTAATTAGTTATTAACACCTTAATTTCCAAACATACAAAAATAAAACAATGCTTAAATTAGTAATTTATTAACTTCCAACAAAGAATTACTTCTTAATGATTACATAATAATACTTTATTCAGTTCAATGCACAGCCATGTAATCACAAGATAGCCTATCCTCCAAGGAAATTGAAAGGTCTCGAAAGAATTTGAGGAGTTATTGTATAAAGAATGTATGAAAAAGACTGGGAGCTAACATTTTCATACTTAATTGCATTTTTTTCTTGTTTAATTTCATATAAAAAAACAATTTAAATTAAGAAACATGTTAAGCCAGTAACGTTTGGCTTTTGATTTTGGAAACAAATCAAACACAATATTTTCACTTGTTTCAAAGACACTTAACTTAAGCAAACAAATATGCAAACAAACATTGATTTAAATAAAACACGCAATAAAAAAGAAACAAAACATAATAATACATGCCGTTTAATATATTCAATATCTCACACTGTAGTATATGCAAAGCACATATCTTTCTGGCATGGGTCAACTCACAGGCTTACAAGCTATAAGTCAAAAGCAGCTAGAGCTTAGCTGTTTGATTTGATGTCCTCGAGTCACATGCTAGCCTAGAATAATCCAATTTAAGATCCATCATCCTCATAAAGACTTTGTTGTATGATTTATGTTTTCAAAGAACCAGAGCCTGTTTAATTAACGTCATGTTTAATCTTATTAGGTTATTCATAAGAATTTTATTCATTAATTACAATAATAATAATGTTTACTCACTTCATGTTTAATAAACTATTTTCATGAATATGGATAACTTTGCACTTAATAAAATTAAAATTTGCTTCGATGATTTATATTTATTCTTATGCGCTAATTTAGTCCAAATTTCAATAGCTGCATTGTTCACTAATTGCATAAAGAAAGATTAAACATCATAAGCCTTTTCCCAATTATTTATACATTAGCATGGTATTCAACTTTTGATAAATATCAATACTTTAAGCTTTGCTGAAATTTAAAAACTTCTAATCTTTTCTTTATTATATAATTAAGGTCTCTGATAGTCTTTACAAGTTGGCTTTTGTGAACTGAAGTGTTCACTGAATTACTCACGTTGAACTCTAACGGAGGTGGACACAGGGATACGACGTAAATAAATTATAAAAAAATCCCAAATTATATCATATTAACAAATAACAAAAACTAAAAACCTACACGCTAAAGATAACACATTAATTAATGCAAGAAAGATTTCCCTTCACCCACTGAAAAAGGAATGATTATAAACATCCCTCATAAAACCCTACCTCAAAACCAACTAGCAGTAATTTTAAAACATCCTGGAATTATTTCACTGAAAGCCAAGTATCATGCCCCATCTTTTTCACTCCTCTGTCTATTAGGAGTAAAAACTAAAACCAACATCAACGATCTCATTGAAATTTTCAAGCTAGATATTCACAAAATAACCTTATTGTAAGGGTGTAAATGAGTCGAGTCGAGCTCGAATCGCCCTTAGCTTGAGCTTGATTAATTTTATCGAGCTCGAGCTTAAGTCTATGAGTTCAAGCCCGCTCGCGAGCCAGCTTGTTTAATATAAAATAGAAAATAATATTAATTTAAAATAAATGTATAGTAAGTTGACAAATAAAAAAGAATAATTAAAAGATAAATAATAATAAATCACTTAATATACAATAAAAAATATTACTTTCTCAATACATTTAATATCTTAAAGATAAAATTTTGAAATTTAATATATTTTAAGAATATTTTATGTTAATATATATTTTTTTAAACGAGCCAGCTCACGAGATAATGAGTCGAGTCGGGGCTGGCTTGAGTTTGGCTTGTTAGCTCATTGATCTCAGTTCACGAGCCATTTATCGAGTCGAGCTCGAGTCGGCTTGACTCACTTGCACCCCTACCTTATCGACAAAGGCTAACAACAAAGTTTCTTGTGTTGAGTAAGCTTTACTAGAAACAAAAGAAAGCAAAATTACCAACAACCATACAACATTATACTATATTCTTCTACCCTCCCTCCTATATTGTTTATTTGACACTCGAACCTGATTTAACATTAATTTCAAACCATTCCTTTGTTTTGTCCTAGCAGACCGGATTATTCCTATCAGTCATACATGGAAAACAAGCACCACAGAATGCCAATACCACCTCAATCCCATTCCCTCTCTCCCCCACTAGTCTCCTTAGCACTATCTTCCCCTACTTGGTAGTACTTGCAATTTTTTCCATTAACAACACCACCTTTAAATTCTCTACAGATCAGGCATGGACCCCTCTCCGTCCCTATCACCCGTTTTTTTCACTTACATTCACTGGCCAATAACCCATTAATAAGATGACTTTCCTCCTCAAAGTAACTTTATTGTGCTTCTTATATAAGATGACACTCCACCACCTCGATCTCATTCCCTCTCTCTTCCCTCTTCCCTCCCCCACTATTCTCCTTAGCACTAACTCCCCCTACTCGGTAGCACTTGCAATTATTTCCATTAACAACACCAACTTTAGATTCTTTACAGAACATACATGGACCCCTCCCCCCTCCCTAGAACCTGTCTCTTTCACCTATAAGCAGCACCATAATCTTCTCTAACCCAAAAACATGGACTATATTCACTAAAGATAACAAACACGGTTAAAGCAAAAAGATTTCCATTCACTCACTGAAAAGTAATGCTTATAAACATCCCTCATAGAAACCGATCTCAAAACTAACCAGCATCAATTTTAAAACATACTTGTATTCTTTCACTGAAAGCCAAATATCATGCCCTGTCTTCTTCACTCTTTGCCCTCCCACTCCCTGTCTCTTTAGCCGCCACTAGAACCATTTTTAGGAGTACAAACTAACACCAAAATCAACAATCTCAGTGCAAATCCCACACTAAATATTCACAAAAGAGCCTTAGTGACAGAAGCCAAAAACAAAGTTTCTTGAGCTGAGTAAGCTTCACTAGAAGCAAAAGAAAGCAAACTTATGCAACTCGACAACCAAGCAACATTATACTAAAATCTTCTACCATCCCTCTATACAGTCGTCTTTCGTCTATAATGTTTATTTGACACTCAAACCAGATTAACATTAATTACAAACCATACCTTTCTATGTCCCAGCAGATCAGATTATATGGAAACCAAGAACCACAGAACGCCACCACCACCTAAATCTCATTCCCCCTCCACCCTCCCCCTC